TCTGATTAGTCAACTAAATTCTTTCTGAGCTACCATTTACTAGAAACATTATTCCATGGCTTACGTTTCTGTTTTGTTTTGTTTTGTTTTGTTTTTGCTATTTCCCTACAGTCATACTCCCTTCCCTGAAAGCTCACAAAACTCCATTCTTTCTCTGCCCTTCTCATGCCCAGCCTGATTCAGACAGCAATCAACAGTGACTAAAGGCCAAAAAAAAAAAAAAAACCAATCATGAACATTTCTCAAAAAGCCAGAGTTAACCTTAGACTACAGTAATGTCACTAGTTTGTCAGTCAGACTGAATTAGATTTTTCTAGCAATCTCACACTTCTGCTAGTTGTGCCCTTTCAAGGCCAGTTTTTCAACCTGTTGAGCTCCCATCAGCTCCTACTTTCCAAGGTTTCTAGCTCCAACAGTAATCCCTTCTATTTCTTCAACCTCCAACCTCCCTCTTTAGATTTATCCCTCCCTCCTCCCCCAACATGTAAACATATCAAGTCACCCTTTTCTGGTAAGAAATCATCATTCAACAAATAATTACCATTTACCTAGTATATGATACTGTACCTGTACAAGGCACTGGCACTGATCTGATGAGGTAGTGAAGAAGATAAATTCATAGTCTGTTCCATTCTGACCCAAAAGCTCCTATTATCAAAAGTTGTGTTATAAAACCAACTTTTCAACCTGGGTAAAAAGAAGTAAGGGGCCAAAGAGTCTCAGACTCAAAATAATAAATACACTGCTCCTGCAAGACTTTCAAGAAGGTGTTAAAGTAAAAACTCTCATACCACTAAGCAAGTACAACTTTTAGTTATATCTACTTTTTGCCTAAGAGCAAAGCTTTTCTGGGGTGCCTGTGTGGCTCAGTTGGTTAAGCGGCTGACTCTTGATCTTGGCTCAGGTTATTATCTCACAGTTCATTAATTCAAGCCCTGCATCAAGCTCTGTGCTGATGGTGCAGAGCCTGCTTGAAATTCTCTCTCTTCTCTGCCTCTCCCCTGCTTGTGCTCTCTCTCTCTCTCAAAACAAATAAATAAACGTTTAAAAAAATTTTTTTAACAAGAGCAAAGCTTTTCTTTTCCTAATCCAAAAACAAAACAAAAAACAAAACAAAAAAACCTAACACAAATATCACCCAGTCCTGTGATAAAGCAGAGTTCACTTTAGCATTTTTTTCCTATTTAATAGCGGTTTGCTTAAGGCAAATTTGTGTTGCCTAAATAATCTGCTGCTGCATTACATCCAACGCATTGCTATGAAAGGGGAAGTCGTGGGATGCTATGGAGTATGTAACAGGGGATCATATCCTGCATGGGAGGGTCAGGAAGGCACCCCCTAAGGAAGTGAGACTACAGGGAGGAGTAGGAGGTACTTAAGCAAAAATGCGGGGAAAAGGGGGAGAAGTTGTGCTAAGGCCAAGACAGCTACAATTATAAAGGCCCTCAGGGGAGAATGGTCATGCACATTTCAAGGAACAGAACCCAGGGGAAAAGAGGGAAGAAAGTCATATGGGCAGACAGGCCATGTGGTCTTAAGAGCCACAGAAGGATCTGAATTTTACACTATGAGCAATGGGAAACCACTGAAGGTTTTCAGTAGAGAAGGGGCATAATTGTGCTTCATTTTAGCTACTTTCCCCACTCCACTGGTCAAGCTGGGCTTATTAAAAGAAAGGTCTAAACTTGCTTGTACTTCTTCCCACTTTCTCTTCTCAATGCCCAGCATCTGACTTCTGTACTCCACTGAAAACTGCTCTCTTTAAAGGCATCTGTTGGGGTTCCTGGGCAGCTCAGTCGGTTAGGCATGTGACTTTGGCTCAGGTCAAGATTTCATGGTTCATGGGTTTGAGCCTCATGTGCTGACAGCTCAGAGCCTGGAGCCTGCTTCAGATTCTGTGTCTTCCTCTGACTCTGTCCCTCTTACTGTCTCTATCCCTCCCCTGCTCAAACGCTGTCTCTGCCTCTCTCTCAAAAATGAATCAACATTAAAAAACACTTTTTAATTTTAAAAAAAGTATCTGTTGATTAAGTCAATGGACCCTTTCAGTTTTGACTTTATTTGTGCCATCTGCTGTATGTGGCCCTCCTAACCATCAACTCCTCTCACACTCACCATTGATTTTCTCCCCACTTCCATGGCTATTCCTCTCCACTCTTTTTAGCAAGCTTCTCTTTCTTTACCTATGCCCTTAATTGTTGTTGGTGGTCAAGATTTCTGTTGCTGGCCTTCAGCATTTTCAAACTCTTCATATTTCCCCTGGAGGATCTCATCCACGTCTAGGACCTTAAGTACTACCTATGTGTTCAGGATTTCCAAAATCCTATTTACAGCTCAGGCCTCTCCTGATCTCCAAATTTACATATTAAACATTTCCATTTTGATGTCTCACAGGTATCTCAAACTGAATTGAACAGTTTCAAGACCAAATACATCTATCCCTCTAGAACTTAAATCTGTATCTCCCCTTCCTTCATTCCTCCTGCCACTGCCTTAGTTCAGGAGATCACCATTTCTCTTCAGGTTTATTTCAACAGACTACTTCCCTGTGCTACTTGCTTACAGTTAGCCCCATCCATCACACTAGTAGACTGATCTTGCTAATTTGTTGGTAGTCCTCTTGGCATGCTATGATCTGTGCCTTTGTACACATTCCTTCCTTCTCTGGAACACAAATTCTTTCCCCCTCCCTTATTCTCTTCACCTGGCCAACTTGTCCTTTACGACTTAGGTAAGGTCATCCCTCCTCCAGGAAGCATCAACCAGAATTCCCAGGTGCACCCCTCTGGGTGATTAGGCAGCACCCTGTGTTTTTGCATTTCTTTTGTGTGTTCATCTTCTTACCCATTTACTACTCTATGGCAGGCTGGATCCTCAAGGCTGGGACACAGTCTAATGAGTAAATGAGTGAAAATGGGGAATTGCAATGAGGACCTCTAAAGAACAAGTCCTAGAATGTGAGCTCCTCAAGGGAAGGAACTCTGCTGCATTCTCTGTTGAATCTCCAAGGTCCAAAGCCAGGGCTGGCACACCACTGATGCTCAGTACATTTGCAATCCAGCTGAATAGATATTCTAGAGTCAAAGGAAAATCTCTTCCTAGACTTGCTTTCCATTACTACCTTTCTTGGTTCGTGACCTACTTTTACTGTAAAACCATGTGTATTACGTGATTTCTACTGACCAAACTAATGCTCTTCTTCTTCCATTACGAAAAAATAATAAGTGCAATGACCAACCCACTAAAGGATTCCTTGGCATTAGTCCATAGAAGAGTTTCCTGAACTCCTTGAAACTGAATGTGAAATTTTCAGTGGATGCAAGAAAGTACATTTTTCTGGTGAGAGGATTACACTTTTCATTAAATTTTCAAAGATATTAAATATACCCCCATCCCCTCCCCCAAAATCACACTGCCTCACCCAATTGTTACACTGAATAAAGCTGCAGTATTCACCTTTCTTTTCTCAAATCTGTATTTTGATTTCTCACTAGCAACTTGGAGAGAGTAGCTTCTATTTAAACAAACGTAACTGGAGAAGACACAGCTGGCAGGCTCTCACATAAAGATTCCTACTAGAATTTGCATTTAAAATGTTCTATAAATGGTAAAGCCCTTACCAGCATTCTCGAAAGTTAGTACCCTATTCTCACATACTCTGTACTCCTGTGAATCAGGGTATTTATTACACTTCCTGCTAATGCGTTCAAGAAGAAAATGTTACATTCTAATCATAATGACCAAGGAAACACTTTTTTACTGTTATTTAATTAAATGAAATGGGGGGAAACCAGGATCATCCAAATTTACAGGAAAACTTTTTTTTTTTGAACTGTAAAAGGACTGAACCGAACAGCAGGAGCAGCATTTAACTGACCAACCACTCAATTCAATCTTGGGAATAATATGCTAATAATTAAACGGTACAGAACAGGCATCTAAATCATTTTAAAAGGCATAAAGTCCTATTTGAATTAAAGGGTTCTCTAGCTGATCTGAAGAAGCTAGTCACAAAAGAATTCAACTACATGATTCTATTCAGATGAGCTCGATAACAAGCAAGATTACCGTATGGTGGTAAGAAAGCAGAACAGAGGTGGTCTATGGGACGGAAGAAGGGCAATGACAGCACCTTCGAGGAAAGGCTCTTTATTTTGACTTGATGTTTGCACAGGTATATACATCTAGAAAACTCGCTGAATTCCACGGATAAAATCTGTGAGTTTTACTGTATGTTAAGTATTTCTCAGTAAGGAAAACTTAAAAGAGAACACCCTTATTCTTTCTTTTAACTAACACAACCAAATCCTATTCTCGTTTCTGGAAGCTGTTTGTGGAGGACGACCCACGCGCTGAAGACTGCTGATTCCCCAGGAGCTTCCGCCACCAGTACGGCTAGGCACTGCCATTTCGAGAGGCCCGGGAGCCACTCACAACAACCGGGGCAAGAGCCCGCCGCGCGTTCGGAAATGGGTGCCGCAACCGGCCTCCGCCCGCTCGGGCACAGAACACCTGGCCAGCGAAGAAGGTGTCCACGGGCAGAGCCTGGCACCGGGGCGTGCGAGCGACCGCGAGGCTGCAGCCGGCTCCCGGCCGCCCGCCCGCGCCCCCCACAAGCCTCGTCGCCCCCGCCTCGCCGGGGCTCCTCACGGCCCCCAGCTGCTTCTCGGATCGCCCGCGGGTCTCACCGGTACCCCCCGCCTCCCGGGTTTCCCCCCGCGCCCCGGCCGCGGAGCCCGTCCTCGCCCGCCACCAGGTGCCGCTGTGGAGCCGCCTTCGAGAACTGACTTTGCGCTTGCGCTCACGAAGAACACCCCCAATCTAAAGTCTTTTTTTTCCACAGGGACCAGAGACTCGGTCGGCGCACGCGCGCCCCTGACGCGGCCCGCGCGCCACCACTTCCGCCCGAGCAGGAGGCGGGGGAGGCGGGAGGGAGCCGGCGGGCGCGAGCCTGGGACCTCGGCGGAGGACTGAGGCTGCTGCGCGAGCCCGTGACTCACCAAGTACAGCTGCTGCCAGCGATTCTCAGCATCCAACTCCTCAAACTCCCGCTCGACGGTGGCAGACATGGCGGCGGGAGCAAGCTCGCGCGAGCGGAGCCTGCGCCGGCGGAGAGGCTCAGGCCCCGCACGATCCGGGGAGAGCGCTGGCGCTGCGGCGCATGCGCGCTCCGCGCCCCGCCCCGCCCCCACGCCGGGCCCGGCCGGCCGCGGGGAAAGTACCTGGAGCGTCGGACGTCAGCGCGCCGACTCGCGCCTCCCGGAATCGGACGGCGGCGGGGCGGGGCGCTCGGGAGAGGCGTGGTCCATAGGGCGCCCAGGTGGAGGGGGCGGGGCCAAGGGGACCACCCGGAGGCGGTTGTCGGAAAGTTGGGCGGAAGGTGGCGGGATCCCTGGACCTGCGCTCACTGGCCCAGGAGAGGAGGGGCAGTACCGCGAATTTCCCAGGAATGGAGCAGGCTAACAAGGTCCCTTGGGAAGACCTCCTTAATTCTTGCTGTCCCATTTTTCTTTCTCTCCTTAGTCCTAATTTTTTTTAATGCGGTATTGTCATTTTCAGTGTCTTCTAGGTCAGTTTAGCAACCTGTGTCCAAGTTTGAAACAAATTTCTCAGTTCTCTTAAAGAGTATAAACCAGCCCTGATGCCAGCTCTTGTATACTTTAGGGGTTTGTGTCACATAAGCCACTATAGCAAAAGGAGAGGCAGCCTCTCCTGGAGTTAGGGAGAATACAGGTGTCAATACGACTTAAAAATTGTTACCTATAAAAATGACAAATCATCTTTTACAGCACAAACATGCTGGTTATGGAAATCATCTCTTCAGATTAAGGTAATTCATTGCTGGTAAACTCTAAATGCTTATAGTATTTGTTATATCATCATAAGAAATGTGAGGGGTTAGAAAAATTTTAGCTATGCTGTCCAATATAAAGTTTAAATTTTAATTAAAATTAAGTGAAATGACGAAGAGTCATTTCTTGACCAAATTCTATGCAAGTTCCTCTGAGCACTTTTTCAACTAGGCCTTGACTTTGGACTTCGTGTTTCTCTGCATTGCCCAATTTTAGCACGAATCTCACTAAGCCAATTTATCCAGAATCCCCCATTCTCAATATCTGATCACCCTGGATATTTAATCAGGTTCCTCATCTTCCGCTATCCCCCAGGTGATGTCTGATCACCCTGGCCTGCCTTCAGCAAGAATCCAATTAGGTTAGTTTAGTCAGAATGCAGATTGCTTTCTGTGTTAAAAACAAGACAACAGTCCTAAAATGGAGTTGCTTCTTAAGCCCCCTGTCACCAAACCTACCCTTAATTAATGTTTCAGGTCTCCCTCTAATGGGATCTTAAATGAGTCAATTAGGAGTCACCTGATCAGCACTAGTTAGGTAAGCTGCCTGATAGACCTATGCCAGCCTCTGAAGGAAAGTAACTTTGCAGTCACCAATCTCTTTTTCTGCTTAGTATAAGTCAGTGGTTACTGCCCCCTTCTGCCTCTAAAGGTCTTTCCATTTATGCAGCTCCTCAGGTCATCTCTGTCTAGTAGATTGGATGCTGCCTCATTCAAAGTTGATCTCAATCTCTCCACCACTGCATAACCCATTGCAGTAGTCCCCCACACTTTGAACAAAGTCTTCCTACCTCACCATTTTCAATATGAAATCCCATGAATAATTTTTTCTTTCACAGAATAATTTTCTGTGAAATTTTCTTTCATGTGAATAATTTTTTCTTTCACAAAAATTAAGAATTCAGTTCATCAGTTGCACTAGCCACATTTCAAACGCTCAATAGCCACGTATACCTAGTGGCTAATGTATCACAGAACACACATATCATCAAAGTTCTGTGAGACAGAGCTGCCTGAAAGGATTGAAATACATGGGGGGGACAAAAGGTCCTTATATACATAGTGAAAATTTTTAAAAGGTCCTTAGATACATAGTGAAAATTTTTATCAATAAAGACAATAATCTATGGGAAGTAGAAGTCGTGGTAACAGAAAATTGAGCAGTCAGCCAGCCTTTCCCCTTACATAGTGTAATTTACAAGTAAATACATGAAACCTCCCTCCGGAAATATCCCACAATCTAATGGTCCTGGTTTCCAAAGTTCTGGTACTGAAACTGATTATTTATATTAAAGACATGGTATCTCCCGAGATTGTTGAGAAGGAAAAAGTTTTCCTTCTACACTTCCAGTGTCTGTGGCTGGTTCTAATAATCAGATTAACATAAAACAAATTAACAAGAGAATAACAAAGTTGATTACATGAATATGGGGTGCCATAAGGTCATGAAACTCAAGGACAAACCTGGCAATTGAGGCTTATATGCCATCGTAAGCTAAGGAATGGGATAGAGGTCTAGGGGATCAAAGAGGAGGGGGGTGATTCATAGAACAATGAGAGCAGAGCAGGTATTTGGTAATTAGATGTTTATCCTGTTATATGGGGAAAAAAAGTTTTCTCTTGGTAAACTTCTCTTTCTGGACCAAGCCTCCTATCTAAATTCTTTTAGGTAGTTTAAGGAGAAGTAAAAATTTTTCTTGAGTCTGCTGGATTTTAAGTGCCTTCAACTGAAAATAGTCCACATGCCAAAGTGGCACATTTTGGGGAAACTTGTTCTTTTTTTTAAGTTTATTTATTGATTTTGAGAAAGAAAGCACAAGCAGGGGAGGGGCAGAGAAAGAGGGAGAGAGAAAATCCTAAGCAGGCCCCATACTGTCAGCATAGAGCCTGACTGGGGGCTTGAACTCATAAACCATGAGATTATGACCTGAGCCAAAACCAAGAGTTGGACGCTTAACTGACTGAGCTGCCCTGCCCTTTGGGAGACTTGTTGTGAACCCCTTCACTCGCACCTTTGAAACTTCCCCAAGAATTTTCACAGTCCAGAAGTTAACCTGGTTGATAACTCCAGCTCAGTCAACTAGGATATTAGTCTTGAGAATAGGCCAGTTAATTTAAACAGTTGTGTCTCGTTTCAGGGGCATCTGGGTGGCTTAGTCAGTTAAGCGTCTGACTTCAGCCCAGGTCATGATCTCACAGTTTTTGGGTTTGAGCCCCACATTGGGCTCTGTGCTAACAGCTCAGAGCCTGGAGCCTGCTTTGGATTCTGTGTCTCTGTCTCTATCTGCCACTCTGCTGCTCATGCTCTCTCTCTCTCTCACTCTCACTCTTGCTCTCTCTCACTCTCGCGCGCTCTCTCTCTCTCTCTCACTCTCGCGTGCTCTCTCGTGTGCGCGCGCGCTCTCAAAATAAATAAATAAATAAACATTTAAAAAAAACGGTTGTGTTACATTTCAAAAGACTGTGATTGAGGTGGGCTCCCAATATTAGGTCTATGGTGCAATCACATATTTAATAGGAGCGCTTTCTGTGGGGGTGGAGGAGGGGGGAGAGAAAGAAAAACAGAGGTTCAAACTGGAGTAGATTATAATCCCAGTTTCTGAATTCTGAAGGCAGCCAGACAAGACTTCTAGATGTCCATCTTAAAGCAGCTTTGGATGGAGTAACAATTTAGATTGGCAGTAACAATCTGATAGATTTTCCTGACTTGCAGTTTCAATGTCTCTGGTGGTCTTTCTGAATGGCCGGACAGCAGCAGGCATGAAGATTGTCTATACATTAATGGTTGTGGTGATTTGTCTGAAGTTTGTATCGAGTTGTCCAGGTTTAGCTTGCATGGCTTCAGGAATAGAGCAGTTTTAATTCTCAATGATTCCAAGTCAGAAGGGTGAGAAAAAATTGGAAATGTTAGTTTGAAGAATTATAGATGAAAAATGGAGTAAATTAGAAGAATTCACTTCAGTCCATTTTACAGGTAGAAAACAAAATCTCAAAAACAATTAACAGCACTAGAATTTATACTCACAAAGGTATATTACTGAAACGTAGTTTTTCCCTGTACAATTGCTCTCATTTTTATCAAAGATAATCACAGCAAGATTAATTCACCTGCAAACCAAATCTAGTTTTAATAAAGTTGGCCTGATTATTTACTATTTAAGTGCATCAAGTATAGTAACTGACCATATAGGCTCTTTTAAATCTACTTGGCTGGACCTTTTCATAAGGAATCTAAGATTGAATTTTTTAAAACCTCTTTAGGCTAAGAAGCCACACCAAGGACTTACCATAAAACTTTAACTGCAATACCTAGAGATTTGGATGAATTCCTCTCTTCTCAAGATCCCCAAAATATCCTGAAGTTCCTGTGCTTGCCCGGAAGTGACTTTTCTTACCTAGTAAGGGTGCTGGGAACGCTGTAAGCAGGCACCAGGCCAATTTTTCCAATGGGCTTATTGGCTCCATAAGGTCAACATTAGCTCCTTAAAGCTATCTGGTTGCATCTAAGTCTATTTATATTTCTCTCAAATACAATATTTAGTTAAAGCCTTGGTATTTAACCAATGTTTCCAATTGTGTCCTGTTACAAGGAGAATAGATTCTTATTAAACTCATGTCAATGACTATATTGCCATGAAAGTAAGAATACTCACTAAGAGTTTCTGAGTTCTGAAGGTATCCAGTAAGGAGAAAAAATGGAAAATTTTCAGCTCTACTTACAAGGGGATAATTTACCAAATTGAGAGAGAAAGAGAAAGAGAGCAGGGGAGGGGCAGAGAGAGAGGGGAAGAGAAAGAATCCCAACAGGCTTCGCACTGCCAGTGCAGAGTCTGGATGCAGGACTCAAACTCACAAACCATGAGATCATGACCTGAGCCAAAATCAAGAGTCTGATTGATGCTCAATCTACTGAGCCACCCAACTTACCAAATTTCTCTAAGTCATAGTTAGCTTGACAGGAAAGATTCCTTATATGTGAAAAATAAAAATTTGAAAAAATAGCAATATTTTTTTTCTTAAGGTTTGTGTGTTTCTTTATTTTTGAGAAATCTCTACATTCAACATGGGGATCAAATTCACAATCCTGAGATCAAGAGTTGCATGCTCTTCTGACTGAGCCAGACACCCCAAGAATTAACAATATTTTAAACAAAAACTCCTAAGTATTTATAATTATTATCCTTAGATCATGTAGTCCCATGTAATTAATACTTGTTTTGCTTGAATCCGGGTTTTTTTCTTTCCCATTAATTCTGGAAATTCCTACCTAGTTCAGCTTTATGACCTTAAAATTACCAGAAACCTGTGTTAGTCAAAATCCTTTCCACAAATCTC